GCTAATAATAATATGATTCAATCAATTGTTTATTAAATATTATTTTCTCTATTCTTAATATAAATTTTATAGAGACTGATTTTATTATGTGGATTCAGCTGCTTTAATTTGTTTATGAAGAGTTTCTTCTAGCATGATCTAAGGTTATTCATTTACTTCAAATATTTGACTTTCTTTTTGTCAATTTACATATATAAATACATTTAAAACATGTAAGTCACGCGTAGCATGCCGTTATCATTTTAACAGTGTTTTTTTTAATAATTAACTTTTTGTGCTTTTTTTAAATTGGTACCTCACAAAAGGCTAGCAATAATGTGATTTAATTTCTCTATTTTTAAACATGTTTAAAATATCTTAAGAGGCGTGAAATGCCAATTATAAAAAAAGTCTTTTGTATACGGAAAATAATGTGATTAAATTAGTTGTCAAATGATTTTTTTTTTTTTTTGTCAATAAACGATATTATCTACACTAAGAGAGAGGGGGTGGGTTTAGCCTCACAATTGGCTAGCAATAATGTGATTCAATCTGTTGTTTATTAAATATTATTTTCTTTATTTTTAAACACGTTCTAAACATCTTAAGAGGCGTGTAATAATGTGATTAAATTAGTTGTCAAATAATTTTTTTTTTTTTAAAAAAATGATATTATCTACACTAAGGGGGAGGGGAAGGGGGATGGACTTAGCCTCACAATGAGCTAGCAATAATGGGATTCAATCAATTGTTTTTCTCTATTCTTAATGTAAATTCTATATAAACCGATTTTATTATGTGAATTCAGCTGCTTTAATTGGTTTATGAGGGGTTTCTTCTAGCATGATCTAAGATTATTCATTTACTTCAAATATTTGACTTTCCTTTTGTCAATTTACGCATATAAATATATTTAAAACGTGTAAGTCGTGCGTAGCACACCGTGATTCAAAAAATACCTTCTACACAGGCGTAAGCGCGTGCATGAAGGCTCGTATGAACAAAATGAAGCCAACCTATGATTCTTGGATCATTTCCATGTTTGCTAAAAACTGATATTGGAAAATACCTTAACAAAAGATATTGGAAAGTATTAATATTATGACATATTGCTAAAAACTTTACTCCTTAGTTTTCTCCCATATAAATCTTTTTCAATTTCTAACTAATCTGTTGTCCATCAACTTAATACTAGTGGTACTATTCTTCACTTGTAAATGAGAAGTCATAGATTCGATTCTCGCCAACGGAGAATTCAAACTACATTATTATTACTAGCCCATTGTGTGGCTTAACCACTCACCCACCCTCTCAGTGTAAATTATATCATTTGTTAAAAAAAAAAAAAAAAAAAAAAAAAAAAACTTGTTGAACATAGTGGCAAATGACATTACAAATTGGAGCTATAATATAGATCGTGGGTAATATTATTTTGAGAATCCTCCTGATTAGATTGAAACTCGATTATTTGATGATGTGATGGGTGTCCCTTGGACTCGAATTTTCTGTAATAAGTCTTTGAGCTAGTTTTTGGGGTGATCCACCCCCTTATTTTACCCCAAAAAACAAAAAAAAAACAAAAAAAAAAAAAAAAAAAAACAAAGAAAGAAGAAATCATTGACAACCATTTATGATTTTTGTTCTTTCATGGTATCTTCTATTGTAGTTAATTTTTTTTTATATTAGATTATCGCATTTTGTTTATATTTTTGAAAACTGAAATAATAATGCAAACCAAAATTCATTTTTATTTTTCAGATTGAAAATTCTTTCATTATAAATTCTTTTCTTAGAAATTGATCGAAGTCACGAATTCATACCAGCACATATTACTAAGAAATAAAAAGAATGATGATACTAATAAAATTAAAAATAAATGGTGTCTAAATCAAAATATGATGAGCATTTTATGAACACATGCAGCTTTTCGATTCAATATTTTCAGCATTTTTTTCTCCCAATTTGATGAAATAAAAGTAAATTAAAATGAAGAAAAAAAAAAAAAAAAAAGCAAATCACATATATGGGAATTCTCTTGTTCTTCTTGCCCTTATGATTATTTTGATAGAACAAGAGGAATGAGGGAGGGAGAGGAGGGACCGAGTTCACGTGAGAGTCACATGGGAAAGAGCCCCGTACGGTCAAAGATTCTCCCAATCAAACCCAATGCATATTAAGCTAAGAAAATGGATCATCTCCGTATCTTTTTCTCTTAATCTTAGGGATTTACCAATATTAATTATTGAAATTTAATTCAACGATTAAAGTTATTATAATTTTTAAAGTAAGTCCCTATTTGTAATAGTTGGATCAAATTTTAATGGTTTGGATTGATGGATTCCTATGATTTGGAGGAAGGGATCCCGGATCCCTTTCCTTAAGCTAAAAAGGTGCATGCCGATTGTTCTCCAAACAGCTGCTCTATCCGTGTGAGGCCAGGCGCCTAGAACCAGGTCGGGTCTCAAACACGGCGGATAGAAGTTGCACCTTCCTTGCATCAGGGATTGGTCTGCAAATAGCTGCTCTGCAAAGCTGTTCTCTTCCAAATTCAACGACTTTGCCATGGCCTTAAACACTAGCCCCATCATCAACTTTATCTTCGTTGCATGTTCATGTAGCATCTCTCTACAGATTATACACATTAATACATATGTTATATATATTAAGGCTTTTTAGCTAAAATGGTCCGTAAGATATAACTTCTCAATTTGGTCCCTGATATTTGAAATTAATAGAAGTGGTCCATGAGATTGTCCACTATCAATCATTTTGGTCATTTGATGAAAAATTATGTTAAGTAAGGATTAAACTGATAAAAATACCCTCAATTTAATAAACAATAGGGTAAAATAATTTGACAAAATTAGAGGGTATTTTTGTTATTTTATTCTTATTCAATGGAGATATTTTAGAGAAAGATCAAAATGATTGATGGTTAACAAACTCAGGAACCAATTCTATCGATTTCAAATCTCAGAAACCAAAGTGAGGAGTTATGCAAATCTCATGGATCATTTTGACTAAAGTAAGAGTTATGTATCTTGCTTCAACCAGCACCATATCCCTTTAGCATATTTCTACCAGTTATAATATTTGAACGTTAATTTATGGACTTCTTCATCAATTATCAAGATGTGAATAAATTTTTCATTATGTTTGAGCATAGCCTGATACATCAAGTATAATAATATAGTTGGTTTAAATTACTTTTTTTTTCAATTTTTCAACCAATTGTACAACTATACTGATGTACCGGGAGCATTGCCGACATACTAAAAAATCTCTCCAAGATGTGTGCGTGGTAGACTAATTATATAATACTCAATGCATGAAATAGTAATGCAAACCCTAAGTGTACGGACGTAACCAAAATCATTTGGATTTTGAGGCCAAAGATGAAGCCTTCTTTGATCTTCTGGGAAGACCCTGAGAGTGAGACGATAAGACCAGTCACGAACTTGCTTTTCCGATACTATGGCATCATTCCCATGTCCTTCAGAGCCGAGTATTTTTCCTTCTCTTCCATTGGAAGTGCAAAGAATTGTTTTGCAGCTTCGCGTATCTTGTCAAGACGTGAATCCGAAATCCCATGGCCTATTGCCTGATTTCATTAATCCATCATGAATATATATAAAAACATATTGAAATTCCATTAGTTCAATTAATCAGATATGAACTTGTTTATCCACAACCCGTCGGATTTCATCAGCAAAAAAAATTAACATCAGATTATCAGATCGGATCAAATTATTTTCTTTTTATGATTCGATTACATGTCTAACATGGTACATGTAAAACAAAATTACTTACATATAGACTATAGTACCAAGAAAAAGAAAATGGAGTTGATATAACCTGGAAGCATCCTGCTTATCTGAATTTCTGCAGCTCATGATTCTCTGCTTGTTCAGAATATTGAGGAGATGACGGGGAGAAGAGACTGATATCAATGATGGGAATTTGATCAGCCAATGTTGGGGAAGAATCTATCGATCCAAACCTGCATTCCTTAACAAAATATTCAGCAAGTGGCTGCTCACCATATTCATAGACATTTCTCGAACATTGGTCATGGCCATTTTGTCCCTGTCAATCTGCGATCGATATTAATCCACTGGTGGTAAACATATATAGATATACATATATTACATATATACATAGACACACACACAAGCTTAAATAATTTTTCGACTCAAAATTTATATGATTTGGTTCCTTCTACTCACAACAAAGCACACGCAGATCAACTTTCATTAGCATATTTTATTCATCACATTTTCCACCGGAAAGCTCGTGACAATATAATAATCAATATCTATGCATCTTCGCAGAAAACAACAGATATGGCTTTCTTCCAAATTCAAGTATGTTATAAGCTCCTTTATTCTAAAGTAATGCTTTTCTTATTTTTAAGTTCGTATCCTCCTTTTTCATCCACAAAAGATAAAAATAAATATTCAGTTAGACAATCTAGCTCGTATAAATTAAGAGAAGAAAATTCATATTGTAAATAGATAATTGAGTTAACCCACGTTTCCCACCGAAAACTAGTTTACATACTAAACGACCAATTTCCCACACTTGAAAACTAAGATACAAAAGTGGAATTAGTTTCGAATTTGCTATTTGCGAAAAACCTGTTGGTGGGTAACATAAGTTTACTCCATTTTCTCACAATAAGCTGCTATATATAATTTGATATTGAATTCGCTATTTATGAAAATTGAACCTACAAACTCCTATTTATATATAAAAGAATACTAATAAACATTAGTACTAGCGGCAGTTATCATGTAACTTTAGTACCAAGTTTCACACCCTCATGACCCTCTACAACAGTTGGGCTCAGGTGAATCGAATTGAAGAAGGGTTGGATTTTTTGGCAATTAACATCGTTGGACCTTTCAAACTCCTCGTACGACCCAAACAAATTTCAGAGTCCCAAATTCGCGGGAGTTGAGTTAGGACCCAATTCCGCGGGCCCCACCAGAAAATTCCAAATTCAAAACAAATCCTGAGCCACAAACCAATCCGTTCCGTGGCCCAAAAATTCCTCCAACTCTTCAGCACCACCAGCAGCAAGCAGTAGCTCGCTTCCTCACTCTTCTTCTCCTCCTCCTCCTCCTCTTCCTTCTCCTCCAAATTTTACAGAAACCAAATTGAAATTTGCCACCTTTTAGTCACGGATAGATACGCACGGAAATGGCGAAGCTCACGCTCAGAGCCGAGTGCTCCTCCTGCTTATTTTCACACAACACAAGCTCACAATCTCCCCTCTCCTCACCCAGACGACGTCGTTTGCTTCGGTTTCCTCCGAAGAACAACTTGGAGTTGAGAGTGATTTGTAGCATTCAGGAGAGGGAAAGCGTCAGGGAAACCAAGAGGGTCAATGGGCTACCGGTGGATAAGGTCCAACGGGCTGGTTCGGGTTCTGGGTCGGATTCTGAGGGGGAATTGAGTCAGGAGAGCGGGTCTGGGGAGGTGGGTTTTGATTGGGATTGGCCGCCGTGGAAGAACGTACCTCAGAGGTACAAGCTCATTGGGACTACTTCGCTTGCCTTCGTCATCTGCAACATGGATAAGGTAGTTATGTGGCTCTTCTGGCTCTGTATTTATTTCTCGCTTAGGCATTCATTGAACAAGTTATGGGCTTGAAATTTTCAGCTTAAACTTTGATGCTTTTGTGGTGAAAAGGAAAGAACTTTGATGCAAAAATGCAATTGGACGTAGATTTTGGGTTGTGGGTTAACTACGTTTTGGCTTTAAACGAATTAAGTTTGTTCCCTTGGCATGCGGGATTGATTAAGTTTGATTTTGGGTGTTTGATTGACAGGTGAACCTGAGTATTTCTATAATTCCAATGTCTCACCAGTTTGGATGGAGTTCATCCGAGGCGGGATTGGTTCAATCGTCGTTCTTTTGGGGGTATGCATTGAGTCAGTTGCCCGGAGGTTGGCTTGCCAAGATATTTAGTGGGAGGTTTGTTTTTTTACAAGCTCATTTCAAGTTTTTATTATGTTACTTATTTATTTACACATAGACCCATGCAGTTCATCCGTGGCGGGATTGGTTCAATCCCCAAATGCTTGTTTATTGATCTTTTGGCCGGGACAGATAAGCCATGTTCATCTATCATTTTCTTCTAATGCAGAAAAGTTCTTGAGTTTGGAGTGTTAACTTGGTCCTTGGCTACGGGACTTGTCCCTCTTGTTGCTGGATTTACACCTGGTTTAGTTTTGTCCAGAATTTTGGTACGCTCATCTACGACATATTCTATTTTCTACGGATTCTCGTAAATCAGTTCAACTTTGTTTAGCCGTTTGTTTTCGTGCTTGATTTCCAACTTATTGTTGGTTTGAGTATCAAACCTACCTGTTACTTACTGAGAGCTCTTTTCTTTGAAGTACAGGTAGGAATTGGAGAAGGCGTTTCCCCATCCGCCGCAACTGACCTTATTGCCAGGCATGTATGACATTCTTATATTTAGTTTGGTCCATTGTAGATTCATAGGTGGTGTTCATGAAGCATTATTTTGTTCAAATTCAGGTTGTCTAGTGGATCCAATTTCTTTGTGTTTGAGAACCCTAGTAATTGTTTACCGGATGCAGGACAATACCTTTGGAAGAGCGTTCACGGGCTGTAGCATTTGTCTTTGGTGGTCTGAGTGCAGGAAGTGTTGCAGGGTATGTTGCATGGATAAGATTCAAAGAAGATTTGGTTTTCTTATGTCTATATTCGTTGTGTACTCCACGTTGATTGATGCCCATTTGTAACTTTGAACTTCTTGCAGGTTTCTTCTGGCTCCTCCCCTTATCCAAAATCTGGGGTGGGAATCTGTATTTTACATATTTTCCTCTTTGGGGATTGCTTGGTAAGTAGCGGTTTCAAACACCTCAGAATTAGTGGTCTCCTTTGTTTTTGGTGAAGAATTAATTCCCTTAACTTCTTCTGGTCCAATGTGAAAACTTATTTATTTGTTTATATCAATATGCCAGGAACAAAAACAATATTCTTCTTCCTTTTTTTCGATTTTCTGCCAAGTACAACCTTCTGTCATGATTAATTATAGAAGAACTTACGTGGCCAATTTATTGTTAATAGCTCTCTTTTTTCCTCTTTTCCTTTAGAAAAATATGAAATGTTATACATACTGAAGTCTGGCAATATGCTCATGTTGTTTCCCAATATATATGTCTTGAAGGTATCTAGGTTTTCAGTTTCTTGAAGGACAAGCCTCATGGGTTGGTGAATCAATTCCACGTGAGCATTTAATCCCTTATTCATTTTCCTTGTTTATTTGGAGAAAGCTTACTTATTTTCATGTAAAAATGCACAGTTGGATTACTTATCCGAAGATAAAGTTGACTAGTAAATCAGAGGTCAATTTAGTATTAAGGGCCTGTTTCTTTGAGTAGCCAATGCCTTCCGGTCATTATCTTTTTTGTTAAGGAAAAACTGTTTGGTTTCGGATTCAGAATCATGAATATTAATGCTTGACGCACCACTATTGTTTGTGCCTATCATTTCTCTCGTATTGTTCTTCACTACATTGTCTCTCTTTCTGATGCAACTAGTACCATTTTGCTAATGTCTGAGCAATCACAATTGTCGCCATAGTTACACTGATCACTACCATTTCCAAAGATATATACACCATTCTATCACTGTATATTCCCGTTCATGCATGACAAAAAAATTTGTCACATTGCATTGACTCTGCCAAAGACTATGTATTTATTTGTACAAAGCATACTTCACAAGAAAAAATGTACTTGATCTTGATAATGATTTGTCATTACTTCAAGTCATGGATAGTGTGGTAAGTTGGTAACTATACCAGATGCTGTTGGCAAGGTCATCAATATTCAAGCATATGTTTGTGCCTTATTTTTCACGTACCAAATTTCTTGCATAGTGATGATTCCTTTTATTCTCTTGGAAATACTTGATAGGGTCCCAATCAACAGATGTGAAGAAAACATGGAGTACCGAAGAATTGGGTGACTTGTTGAAGGTGTGATTCTTTTTTCTGTTGTATATGTGTGACTTGGGGCAATGCTGGTGTTAACGAGGAAAATGCTCACAATTAAGTGACGAATGTTAAACTTTATTGTTGTCGTTAGACTAATTCAGAAATTAACTGAAACCTTTTGATTTATATCATTGCTTTTAAGTTTTATCATAGTTTACATAGCGATTACTGTGTAGTAATTTGGCTTCTTACTTGCTTTTATTTAATAGGATGTACCATGGAAAGCATTTTTCCAAAGTCCAGCTGTATGGGCAATGATCTATGCTCATTTTTGTGGAAGCTGGGGTCACTATACTTGCCTAGCGTGGCTTCCCACCTATTTTAGGTAATTCATGCAGACTTTTTACTTTGTATAATGATTGGGAGGTATGCTTTTCCTTTGTTTGTCTATTTAACGAATGTAAGTTGTGGGGACAGTTGCCAACAGTGGTGACCGTAACTTAGTCTGGGAAATAGAAGGAAAACGAAAAGTACTAGATTAACTTAAGGTCATTTATAAGTTATCTATTCTTTTTTTTGAAAAGTATGTTTGTAAGGACTTGGTATCTGAGGAAAGTATGTAATATTCTATGCAGTGAGGAGCTGAACCTGAATTTGACAGAAGCTGCATGGGTAAGTCTAGACTTATTTCAACAAGTATGCCCATCAAAGCATCATATTTCTGCATACGGTTTTATCAATTTATAAAGTTATTCAGTTGTATCATACCAAGGGGTTTCTATTTGTTTCAGGTCTCTATCCTTCCTCCATTGGCTTCGATCTTTGTGACCAGCATTGCATCACAATTTGCTGATAGCTTGATTTCTAGTGGAGTTCAAACCACTACGGTAAGATGATTTTAGATCGAGCTACTCTGTTGTATATGATGGAATCAGAAAACTCCATCTAGAATTTTTAGGTTTTTCCCAAAAGATGAAAAACGCCCTCAACAATTTCTCAAGTTTATGGATATGTTTGTGTTGGCTTGTTAATTTAATTGCTACTTTTACCTGTGCAATACATAATAAACTTGTGACGTTCATAATATGAGTTTTGCATCATTCCTTAACTTGCTTAAGGTAATTTTTGCACTTAGACACTCTTAATGTTTCTGATGTCCTTGTTTTGTACATGTAGGTCCGAAAAGTTTGCCAAACAATTGCCTTTTTATCTCCTGCAGCTTGCATGACTCTTTCATCTCTTGATCTAGGATTGCCGCATTGGGAAGTTGTTGGGATTCTCACTGGTGGTTTAGCCCTTTCAAGCTTTGCCTTGTCAGGTACAAATCAATCGAATTTGAAGCTTGATTTTGGAGGATGGTGAATAGAATTGTTCTTCTCCTACGCTGTCATAATATATTCAAACGTGCAGGATTGTATTGTACCCATCAAGACATGTCACCCGAATATGCGAGCATACTTTTGGTATGTAAACTTACTACATGAATTTTTATTACTGTGCTGGAAGCCTGGAAGATGCTATGGAGCGTCCTATTTTTGTTTATATCCTATCTCTTCCCTTTGCTTGATTATTAATCAACTTAAATTCAAATCCAATTCGTATGCATCTTTGTTAGGATTTTTAGTGATATGCACCTTCATTCTGGTGTGAAGGCTGGGTGGTGGAAGTTTGTGTTGTGTCGTTTTATCAATCGACCTGCATGATTGAATTCACTGGTCTGACTTATCTTGGTAGTTCTTGTCTTGGACATTTCTTGACGTAATTTACTCGTGAATCGTGATACTAAGAGCTGTATGCAGTTCATCTCCTTTTGGACTTGATATACATGAGTATCAATCAAAAATACGTCAATGCATTTTCTTAAAATCAAGCAGACCCAGATATAAATTCAGTTGATTTGACGGATTCAAATTTGCCACTCAGGGTATTACCAACACTGTTGGGGCGGTACCTGGAATAATAGGCGTTGCCCTCACCGGCTTTCTTCTTGATTCCACTCATTCATGGAGTGTAAGTAGCCTCTGTTAGTGCTTGTCAACTTTTTACCACCTTCAATAGCTTACATCCTTTAATTACTTCGTCTTAACTGATTCACTTACGTGTTATGCAGATATCATTGTTCATCCCATCAATATTTTTCTACCTGACTGGTACAGTTGTTTGGCTGGTGTTCGCCAGCAGTAAGCCTCAAACCTTTTCGAAGAGAGACTGACCTTTTTTGTAGTTCAGTCTTTTTCTCTTGAATGAAGCCTTCCAAATAGCGGGATTCGTCATTCAGTGTATAACTAGTGTCACCTGTGTTCGGAAATTAGCTTAGTATTCACCATTTGGTTCTTTCTGTACATCTAGAACAAGGCTGCTGCACATGTATATGTAATCTTCCATGACATACACATTTTTGTTGTAATCTCGAATAAGTGTTCTTGGTTAGCCCCCAAACAACGACGGGTGGAATCTGATATTGTACAGCTGTTTTAACAGTTCACAACTTCACTTGGTATAAATATGTTCCAAAAGGTCAGATGTTTTTGTCAACATTTGAATTGGTTCCGAATTCCGATATTTGGTGAGCGGAGATCCAAACACAGGACTTCGGGTGCAAAAGTAACTGCTTAAGCTACTTTTAAGAATAGAACAGTATAACGATGGAGGATGAAAATTGAATTGTATTCTCTCTTATTGAAACAATGTTAACGATTACACTTTCAGCATTGCCTACCTGCAAGCAGGGGGAACTACGTATGGTATGTGAGCAAATACAATTGAGGACGGACCGACCAAAATTGGTTCCGATGCATTTACATACACAGGGTTTAAGCTAGGAATGATCCCGGATGAATCTACGCGCAAAGCGTTTCCATTGAGCAGCATGGTTTGGCTTTGTATATTTCCGTCCTTAGGTGTTAGATGGTATTCTTCTCTTTCTGTTGAACTTCTGGGACCCTGTTGGAGCTTGGTCACATGTGATCTATGAGGCTTGTGTGATTTGTGTTTATGTCGCAGAGTCCAGGTAGTGTTGAAGGCAACTCTGGCCTCGGCCGTGGTGGTATTGTGAAGGTTGATCAGTAGCACCGTAATCCCTTTCTGTTAAGATGAAATCATAATTAGCTCAGGAAAACAAAGAGTGCTGATTGTTGTCTTTCGTTATATTGAAGCTGCGGTTTAGACTTACAGATTGTTTTGCGCAGTGTGCGTAAGCACGTATCTTTTTTGGTCCAGAAAAGCTAGTTGCGAGGACATTTCTTCCCATCAACCGATGCCAAAGCAGAGCGCTGGCACGGAGAAAGCCAGGATAAAGCATCATGTGTGTTAAAATGTTGTCTAAAATCGGCTTCTAAGGTAGTTAAGATCGGTATGTAGTTACCTGTAATAGTCGGGATTAGGCTCGAAGGTAGTAGTGTTGAGTAAACCGTAGTTTCCTCCAATCAATGTCTGTCTGCAGTAGGTTTTTGTATCGTAAGATGCTGACATACCGAGCTGATCCAAATACCTGTTTGAAACATCGAAAATATGACTCGTGCTAGAATTCAAACATGAGAACGAAAGAAGATGCTTTAGATGTTATGGCCAAGTTACCAGAAACTATATACAAATGTATTGGAGACAAGATGGCGACCGCTATTGTAAGCACCTCCAGCTTCCCCAACCCACGCAGCTGCCGAAGTTGCAGAATGCTTTAGGATGCCGTGGAGGTTGCTGAATGTGCTAGAAATACGGTCAAGAACAGATGGATCGAGAATCTTTTCAATAAGGTGTTCATCAACCCCTGAGAATACAAAAGCACTTCTTATATCAGTTAGGAAGTTGGAAATTAAGCCGAAAACAGGACGTTTCGCAATGTGTTTGTTCAATCAATTATACCTGGCCCTAGATTATATATATGGTGAGTGACAACGTCTAAGGATGTGGTGGTTTTATCTGTGTAGTCTTTGAACCAGTTCGCATCGAAAAATCCTCCCGGCGAGAGGATCAGCGGCTTTGGTTCGACGCCCTTGTAGATGTCTTGTACTATCTTCTTCAGAGCAGTTGTATCGGATACATACTGACTCGCCGAGACTGTTGTTCCGATTCCATGTCCACACAATTCATTTCCTGGCCAAGAATTGAAACACACTCAGTTTTTTCTAGACAAGTACGTTATAACTTTTGTGACGTTGTTCAACGACACTTCGGTGCGAAAAGCGTTCTTACCGAGCTCCCAACCATGTACGGTGTAGTTGTTTTTGACGCTGTAACGGATGAAAGACTCCGAATTGCTGTAGTCCCAATCTCCAGTTGCAGTACCGTTCGAATTAATTGCTCGTCCGGTGAGAGCATTTAATCCGAAGATAATCTTAGCCCTGAAGAGATCGTCAATCAGATAATGTTACGTGCTCTTGTTTTCAAAAATCTAAACTTTAATCAAACAGCAGAAGGAAAAGAGAGTATATTCTTTTACCCTGCTTTCTGAAAAAAGGAGCTTAATTCATCCCATCTATTCATAGGCAAGCAGCCCTGAGTGAAACCAAACATCTCAGAAGTGCTTTTTTGAAAAGCATCACAGCTTTGCTTGATATCTGGTGTAGCATATATCACCTTATCTTGCAATGTGCCACCCAATCTAAGTTTCAATGGTGAGAAAGCTGCATAATTAGCAGAGAATTAAGCAAGTTTTTCGACTCTTATTTATAAACACCGGATTGAAAACCGAGTTTTTCTAATGGAATCAAGAAATTCCTACCCTTTATAGCATTTAACAAGATAGTGTTGTTTAGATCCTGCACAAGAATTATCACATAAATATCAGAAAGCATTATAAATGCTAAAAAATATGAACAAAAACACAGAACAAAGATAGATTTCGGATATTTTGGAATCATAAATTGGCAAAAACTCATAGAAATTCATAAGAAAAAGTAAATTTTAAGACTTGTGGATCAGTTTAATTGTGAAAACCCCAGAAAACAACCTGTTTCAATAGAACAGTTTATTTATTTATTTTTGTGTGTTTTTTTTTAACTAAAAACACAGAAAATGGAATCAGAGGATATAAACTTTTAAAAAATCCAAAGACATAAAAAGATTTATGATTTGTGATTATTTACAAATCTAAAGAAAAACATATGAAGGTGTAGGTGATCTAGAGAGAGAGACATTATGTATATGTGTATGTATATGTAAATGTGTGTGTGTGTGTGTGTATTACCAGATTGAGGAGAGAAGCACGACCCCAGCTGCATGTACCATAGTCGCATTTCTCAGGTGGCCACCAATCAAGAGTTGCACAAATAAAATCGTCGTCGATTTTGGCAATGGCGTCTCTGCCATTGATGCGGACTGTACCTTCCACACCTCCTCCTCCAAACCCCACCTTCGAATTTACAGTACAAACCAAGAAACTAAAAGAAACCCAGAAAATGAATCCCATTTGCAAGATATCAGAACCCATCTGCAACAAGATCTCTCTCTCTGTCTCTAAGTTTTTCTTTCTGTAGCTCTTGTGTTTATATATAAATGGAGGAGGAGGAGGAGGAGGAGGAGGAATCCATGAAAGAAAAAGTGAAGAGCTGAGATTACTGAAAAATTGCCAAAAGTGAAGGTGTTTGTAATTGTAACAGGAGAGAGAGAGAGAGAGAGAGAGAGAGAGAGAGAGAGATGAATTAACAGTTTAAAGAGAGATATCTGCAATTTGCTATAATTGTGTTACAAAGATAGAAAAAAGGCATATAATACGTACAACAAACTATTGGGAAACCACGTCAAGAGAAATCTACTCACGACATTGGTCTCCTTCCTCTCTGACTATGACCCTATTTTTATTATTGTCATTAATTCCAAGTTGTTCTTTCTTTACCGACAAATTACACAAGAGACATTTTTTGTATAATTCTAGGATGTGTTTTTGCGTCCGTGTCAATATATAATTTGCATGCAAACATACATATAAAGGCGCAATAATCAAGTGCTCAAGATTACTAATATATTTACAAACTACTTTACTTCTTATATGTAAAGTAAGAGAACCACAGTTACGTACATAAACTTTGATTTATATAAAGCCAGTAATTTAACGACGTAAAATTTGACTCATTACACGTAAAAGAGCTGCGGAATGTTGATTGTTTTTATTTATATATGGCTTTCGTTTTAGATGAGCATAAAGCTTGGGAATTAACTATATAGTATGGAATAAAGTTGCTAATGGTAGAGGTGGGGTTGGAAGTTGCTTGCAAGTTGCTAAGTGGGTCCATGAGTTTGCTTTCCAAATTGAAAGGTACAGAAGTTTTTTTGTGCGTTGACAACACGATATAGTATATCAAATGTTATAATATAAGTGTTTGATTAAATGATTAGTTATGATACTTAATATATCGGGTTATGTTTTCGGCAAATTAAAAATCTCTCGTAAGGTACAAAGATTGGCCTTTACCAAAAGAAAATCATGAAACGGTAGAAATATGCCTGGTTTTACTGTTTGACAGCGGCGCCCAGCCACCCACCTGGTCATGATTTTTGGATTCTTAGCGTGCACTTCGCTCGGGGTTTGAAAAAAGATCATTATTTTATACTTGTATTTCATTTGGCAAAGCAAACTAATAGTAATTAGGGTAAAAGCGATTAGGGTTTTTATTTTATGGAAAACTGATTGGGGTTTTTTAATAAAAATCGAAACATGCATGTTTTATCAACTGTCGTGAAAAACCCAGTTTGACGTGAATATCGCATGCATGTACGAATGTTGATGCATTTAATTCAATAACAATTTGGTACAGAAATTAATTTGTGTTAAAAAAACAACAGAAAACAATTGAGGTTTTTCTTTACCAAAAATAGGAAAAAAGAGGTCGACATGAGCACTTTTTTTATGAAAAGATCCGCAAAAAAAATTAGAGAAATAGAATTAACTAACCCCAACGCAAAGCATGCAAATATGTAATAAAATACCATTTGTGATTATTTAATTTCTTATTTCTCGCAATCTAAACTTTCATTGGAGACTCTCTCTTCTTATTGAGAGATTTTTCAGTGTGTCGCAATCTAAACTTTCATTCAGGACACAGCCCAGTAAATTATGTGTCATAATACAATTAGTTGAAAACTTGAAAAAAAAATTCAACTAATTGTATTATGACACATAGTGTACCGGACCGTATGTCCGGCACACTAAAGAATATATCTTGCTCTCCTTATGTTTCCCAATCGAATACTTGATTTTGATAATGTGATAGTTTATTTAAAATGTAATGCTAGGGAGACTATATATTTAAATCATATTTTTTAAACCATATGACGTGATTGATGGTGATTGAATTAATGTTAAAGTAGTGATTAACGTGCTTATCTTTTATCGGTGATACATCTCATGATTTGCTTACTGTTATTTGAAGGATCCAATGGTGGAATCGAAGCATTGAATTACGAGAATACAAAGTAACAAATGTTTCCAAAATGTTGTATTTTGAAAATACTTGATTTAATAATGAAAAACAACCATAATTAACTTTGAGACGATGGATTTGGTGAGCCAAACTATACACTAGG